GGATGCGTATTTTATAAGATAATTGACAAAATAAATAACCATTTCGAAAAAGTCTCTATGTCACTTCGAAACACGTTTCTTCGATAATTGATACATCGACAACTATACGAGTACGTCGAAGCGTTCATTGTTCGAAGTTTCAATACATCGAATATCTTACTTCGACGCCCGACTTTTGTTTGTCCGATGAAACATTACTTCGAAAAATTTGCCAGATGCTGAAATTTCAATGTTGGTCTCATAGTGAAAGTTGTTCAGTTTATGGGCTGAGCTACCACCTGAGAGGTTTTGCGCTGTTTCCATAACACGTTGTATATATTTTGTTTTTTGAGAACATGAACGTGTTTAGGTTTCGTTCCAATTTTGAGTAAGTATATCGTTTCAGTATAATGAAGGCAGATATTAATACTACCCTAACTAATATGACAGCTTAATTTCATATATGACATGGTGTTTAGCAAAATTTTATCTGCTGTGTAATTTCCATTGCCTATAATGTAATTTCCATGGTCCGCGAATTTTCTACATTTTTTTTTAGCAAAAGTATAGATCTCAGTCGTGGCCAATTTTAATATGATGTTTAAATTTGCAGAAGTTTTCGAAATATTTATATAATTCACCATAATTTTGCGATTTCAAAAATGCCCTGGAAATTACACGGAGAACACATTTCCCAAGAATCACCCATTTACCGATATCTTAATGTTAGTCAATTCAGAAAATATCCAATTCTTCTCTGAAGACAGCTAAGCACGCTCTTTTGCATGCCAGTGCATGCACGCGCAAAACACATCACATTTCACACAAAACTAAACACAATCTTCACTAAACTAACCCTAACACTCAAGACGAACACTGTAGTATCTTATTAACAAAAATTTAATTAAAAATGCACTAGAACAAAACAAAAATCGACAAAAAGTCGCTTCGAAGCGGTAAGGTGGCAGTGATGCAATAACGTGCCTCACGCGCAAATGTAAAAAAAAATTATAGACATAATTTTTTTTTACATCATATTAAAGACAAATAGTACTCTCCAGGAACCTCGGGAGTGTCGGTCGTTCTGTTCCACCGAGTATTATTATTAAGTACAGGGCAAATGCTTAATTTAGGTTTTATACATATTGCTTCAGGTTATAGATCTCTGACCCCGAAACTAGAGAATCTGTATTATCAGGGCCAGCGATTCCTCAGTAAGTTGTTTATAGAGGAATGTGAATTGAGGACGCTTCGTACTGAAAAACTTAAGATAAGCAGGGTAAAGGTCTTAAAAACATTAGAAGTGTGTGTTTTTGTGTGTGAGTGAATGTGTTTATGTGTGTATTTGAGTGTGTGAGTGTATGTGGTGTGGTATGTATTGTGTGCGTGGATAAGCTTAGTAATATTTAAATGGATTAGTGGTAAGCAATGTTATGTTTATTTATTTAAGTTTTATTACTATAAATATTTCATATTCTATCACTTTCATCTTTTAATTCAAAAGGTTTTCTGTTTCTGTATAGGTGAGTTTGAGAAGGTAACTGGTAATTTTGTTTTTTGCTTCATACCTGTTCAGGCAGTAAATAAATGTTAACTTATGCAATTTAATTTATAACACCGTAGAGAATGCGTCAAATTGTCGTTTAGCGAAAGCAGTTTTACATGGTATTGAACGGTAAACTTGAGCAGAAGCGCGTTTACGAGAGAAGGTATTCAAATCTAAGGGGAAAACGGTGTGTCTCCGCAAAATACAGCGCAAAATAAAGATTTGCTGGACAGTTAAAACCTGACATTCGGAATATAATTCGCTAACTGTGTGGATCTATAATTGGTTATCTGATTTATGTATTGATACTGTAAGTTCATTTATGCAACCGTTGATCTACCATGAAAAATAAAAAAAAATGTTAGTAGGATGTCGGATATGTTTAAGAGTCATCACTTTTAGGATAGCTCTTTAAGCTCTCTCCAACTTCAACATAGCGATACTACCTGCCCAATCCCACACTGGGATACAGTGTGTAGGAAGTGATTGGCATAGTGACAAGTACACAGTTTTTACTACTTCGGGTTCAGTTAAATGTCGTAATATTTTGAATACATAAATTAATTTTCTCACTCTTGTTTTCAAGGCTCCTATTTGGGGTGCCATTTTAAATTCCTGTCGATATGAATACCAAGATATTTTACACTATGCACAGTGCGAAGTAAAGGGCATCCGCAGTTGGGTGTCGAGGAGTTGCAGGTGTGAATTGCGATCTTAGAGTCTTCGGGTGGTGCGGCGCCGGCCAGTGTAATGAAGAAGGAAAGTACCTGAGTTTTTTTCTGAATTCAGTGTTAGTTGATTATCGGAAAGCCACTTGTAGTAATGAAGTCTCTGCGTATTGGCTTCTTTCCAGTCTTTACGGTGCACCAAAAGTGCGGTGTCATCAGCATACACATATATGTGAAAGAAAGAAAAAAAATTCGTTTATTGTTGAAACCACATAATATACACAACAACATTAAATAGGGCTGAATATAAATATTTTTAAAAACAGGTTGCTGCGAATGCTATGTGATGCCAACGCTGGACTCAGCTCAGTATAAGCAGCAGGCAAGACCCGCTGCACTGATATTCTGCAGAGACCAGCAATGACACCACGGAGCACAATATCTATATTAATATAATATCCGTAAATGATAATAACACACAATAAATATAAATAAAAAAGAAAAAAAAGAAAGAAAAGAAAACGTATATGACTACACTAACGTTAAGGCTGAGTGGAATTGATTCTGTGTACATAATTATTATGTCAAATTGACTTATGACACGTATACAGTTACTCCGTATAAAAAAATAAACACATTTTATTGCCGACGTGGCAGTTGAAATTTTATACACTATGAATTACTAGGATATCGCTTCTATTCAATAAAAAGGATAGTTATTAAAAATGAAAACTGTTTATAACCGTCCGAATTTACAGACGGACACAAAGGAAAACTTCTCCAAATCAACCCCAAGCAGTAAATAAAAACATCATACCGAAACCCTACTGCATCTGTGACTGTAATAAATATGCCTTTAACCTTTTGCTGAAAGTGTGCTTTGTTTTTAGCGTACGAATAGGAGGCGGCAAGTTATTCCAGCACTTTGAAGCTGAGTATTTAAAAGAACCCCGGAAAGCAGTAGAATGATGTTTCGGCGTCTGTATCATATAAGAGGAAGCTCTGGTACTATATTTATTTTTATCCTTAGCCCAGGTAATTCTAGAGTAAAGATATTCAGGTGTTTTAGTATGTATAATATCAAATAACAAGGTGGCAAAATGCAGTTTTCTACGGGCATTCATCATCATTAAATTAGAGCTATTTAAATAAGGTGTTATATGAGCTCTTGGAGGAACAGGGAAACAAAAGCGTGCACATGCAATTTGTACCCGTTGTAAGAGGAGCCTTGTTTTTGCCAGCAGACAGAGCCCAATTACTGAATCTGCATAATTCAATTTTGCTAGGACCAATGATTCACACAAGCCAACTCTGAGATCTTCACTGAGCAAAGGATGAAATTTATAAAGAATTTTCAGGCGATAAAAGCAGCCTCTGACAACCTCCAGTGCGTGCCTTTCAAAACGTAGGTGAGAATCAAAAATAACCCCAAGATTTCTTGCCTCAGAGACCATCTCAATTGTCTGATTGTTTATCAAAATTTGAGGTTTAAAATCCACAATATGAGATACTTGCTTCCGTGAACCCAAGATCATAAATTTTGTTTTATGAGGATTTAACACAAGACTATTTTTATGTGACCATTGACCTAAATTCCTCAGATCATCATTCACTCTATCCACTGCACTAACAGTGTCACGAGGTAGGAAACTCAAGTACAACTGGACATCATCTGCATAAATGTGATACTGACAGTTTTTTATGCTTTCAGTGATATCCGCGCAATAAATAATAAATAAAATCGGGCCAAGTATAGATCCCTGAGGAACGCCTCTACATAGAGCACGACATTCAGAGAAAGAGACCGAGCCATCCACGTTTCTCACCTCAACTATTTGCTTACGATTAAGGAGATACCTAGTTGTGAAACCAGCGAACAGCAGCAGGGTCAAAACCATAATAGGACAATTTATAAAGAAGTAGAGGTATATGCAAACAGTCGAAAGCTCGCGAGTAGTTAGAAGTACCAGAAGAGTGCCCATACCTCTATCCTGGCCCGACAAAATATCGTCAACTACACTAAGAAGTGCAGTAGATGTGCCACGTTTCTTACGGAAGCCCGACTGAACCTGAGGGAGCAAACAGTTCAATTCAAGAAACTTTACCACCTGAGTGCTAACTGCCCTCTCAACGATCTTGGATAGGCAGGACAAAATACTTATTGGACGCAGGTCACTGACATCAACAGGACTAGAATTTTTAGGGATAGGTTTGATCAGAGCAGTTTTCCAGATATCAGGAAATTGGGCTTCGGTCAAAGATTTATTTACAATTGATGTTATTGCACTAAGAGACTGTGGCAAAGTCATCTATAACATTTGAAGGGAGATCCCGTCTATACCCACTGCATTGGAATGAAAACTTTGGATAATATTTGCAACCGTTTCCTCAGTTACAAGAGAAAAAGAAAAATGTATATAAATGTAAATAATATAAATAGTATTACTATACAAGCAAAGTAAAACTAATACCGGCAAATACACCATATACCACCCGCTAGTGTTAACTTAATTAATATAATAACAAACAATTAAGAGTAGGGAAAAAATTAAAGGATTTTCTTTAACAGATATACAAATACAATATTACAGGTGACAGTGACATGGCTGTATGGTCTAAGATTCTATTGTAACATATAAAAAAAAATCAAAACTGACATTTCATGTTTGACATTCACAAAAACAATCAAACCGAATACACCAAATAATTTTCAGAATATAAAAAAAAAGAAAATTATATTATTTTTAGTGACAACCATTATTCAGTAATAATCAAAATAAAGTTCAAAGAAGGTAGACTGAGGTGGACTATGCAAAATATAAAAAAAAAGAAAATGAATGAATGCAAGATCGTGTACATTCTTTGTGGCTGCAATCCGTCGTAGAAGCCACAGAGTTGGCAGGCTCGGAGTCAATCGAATGTAACTCTTCCATGCATGTGATGCGATGCCTGGTATTGTTAAGGCCAAGCACGAGTGTGACGCCATCACGAGTCCAACATCTATTGATTCCATACTTTTCGCGGGCAACCATGAATACAGTGCGACGAGAATGCGTCAAGTATTCAGACAAGGTTATACCAGTATTCTTCAGCTTTGACTTGCTGGACCAAATCCTGTTTCGAGTACTATTCAACTGAAATTTAGCAATAATAGGCCGAGGCTTATTGTGGTTACTGGATCGACCCAGCCTGTATGAGTCTTTAATATTCCCGATTGTAAAACCATCAGCTTTTAATTTGTCAAGAACAACCCTTGACATAAGCTGAGAGGTATCTTCATTCAGTTGTTCAGGAATGTCATGAATCATTAATATTTTTCATCGGCCATTCATTACCACTTGATCAACTCAAATCAAATCAAATCAAAATTTATTTATTCAGTTTAGGCTTTTACAGAGCACTTGTGAAAGTCGAAAACTACGCCATAAACTAAACTGTCTTTGCAACTAAATGGATTTGAGACCGTAATGCATTTAATGACTCCAGTGTGAAGGACTTGAAAGATGCAAATTCACTAGCTAGACTCGCAGTGTTGGTGGTGGTGGTGGTGTTAGGTGCATTCTGAGTCTTTTGCAATTGAGCTTCAAAATTACTCATCCTGCTATGGAATGTCTCCATCAGCTGAGATAGTGTAAGCTGCGGTTGCTCCATTGTGCCTTATGAAGAAATTTCTTGTCTTGAGATATCAAGTATTTGCTGGAGTAAAAGGATAATAACACTTCAGCGGGTGTTACTTAGCGTCAGTTACTATTAGCAATAATCAAAGGTGAATTATTGTATAAAAATAATTATATACTTAAGTTTAATCAAGAGGTGTTCAAAATTGTGACTTTCTTAACTGACTACCCACGAGAAAAAAAAAACCTTACAGACAACTAATAGGTTGCTTATTATATATATTTATTATTTGACGATATTTCAAACCTTTATCGCCCCTTATTTGACCACTTGGGCTATAGTTTCTTTTATGTGCACTCGTATAATGAAGTATGTCTTTATAGGTTATCTTATCTGTTTCGTTAATAACTTTAAGATTAGGTTTATTGTGAATTAAAAGTTCCTTTAAACCAGGTGTTAATTCATAGTGGCGACTACCAATGCTCACAATATTATTGGAATTCGAAGCATCGTCTGATAACGAAAACGATACTTTGGAATTTCCCATCATTAAATTCTTGTTTTCACTACGTATACCGAATGGTACATTTATATTTTTATCATACATGTCAGTAACTTCTTTTTGTAACGATGATGGTGTAACATTTACATATTTTTCTTCACATGTAAAATCATAATTATCAGAACTTTCACTTGATCCTCTTTGTGCGTTCTTGCAGAATTTTTCATAATCTTAAGAAAAGTCTTGATCATCTATTGTTTCATGTTTACTCATATCTATGGAAACATTTAGTGTTAGTTTATTTGAATCATTACCTTTAATCATGGTCTCTAAGTTATCAGTGATAGGTTTAAATACCTTTTTAAATTTTAAATTAGCTGCATCTTCTTCAGTCTGCATTATTTTTATTTTATTTTTTATATTATCTACTGATTGAATTAGTTGCTTTTTGATTTCAGTATCCATTATAATCGACTGTTGTTTACTAATATTCAAAACCAAGTAACTTATTTTTAGGGATATCATTGTTATATACATTTTTTATAAGCAGATAAATGTATCAAAACCCTGTCTATATCTTCCCTTACTTAAAGCACAATCTTTATTAATTGTTAAAAAACTAAATCTGTCCTGCCATATTGTTGTGCACAGCTTTATGAATTCCAACCACTCAATATCAGTCGTTACATGTTCCTTATAAATGTGTTTTAAATTTATGTCATCTTGTTTGAATAATATGAGAAAATTAACATTATCGCGTATTAATTGCTTAGGTATTTAAGAATAGGTTTGCGATAAGTAAAAACAATCTATTTGTTTATGTCTCCCCATAGGAAAAAAGTTGCGAATGTTGATTTGATTTTCGCATGCAACATCATCAAAAATAATTATTGATTTTTGTAATGCATGAAATAACTTCTTCGCTATTATTAAAAACAAAAAACTTTGTCTCTGGTACATGTTTTAAGACATGTCTTAAAAATATATATTTAGGTTGATAAGACTTTTTTGAATACAAATAAATATTTTTAAATTTCACCCCGTTTTTATGTATTAACAGATTGATCATTAAATTTGTTTTCCCACAATTAGAAGGTCCACATATTATAGCTCGGATAGTATCAGGCAGAAGTATACTATGATTACTTATGTATATATTTTTTTCATCATAATTATTTAAAATCTGTCGTTTATCTTCATATCTACATAACACAACTTTATTGACTTCCTGCGAATATAAAATATGCTTGATAGATTTTATTGTATTTATTTTGCATTTAAATGTTTTATTACTATTTAATGCGCGATTATAATCTGATAATTTAAGTCTTTGATAATAGGATAATAAGATAATAGTTGGGATAGTTGTGCCGAAAAGACGCAATTTTTGTGACTCTTAATTTTTAATTTCATTAAATTGTAATAATTAATATTTACATACCTCAAGAACCTTATATGGTGGTATAGAACATTATTCTACCAGCATAAATAAAATTCCGCTCATAAAACACTGCACTATATTTCAACCTCACACTATGGAGTCAGTGAAAAAAACTATAGAGGAAATGGCTGCACAGTTTAACAATAGGATGGCTGTTGGCTTTTGTTGTGACTGCTCTCGACACTCTGCAGAAGCAGGTAGAGGCTCTCACACGAGAGCATGAGCGTCGTGAGATCTGAAGTCGTCGTCGTATGCTGCTGGTACACGGTGTGGCTGAGCGCAAGGATGAAGCTGTGGCCGATGTGTTACTGGGTGTGACAGGTCAACATCTCAAGCAGATCACACTCTCAGGCCATGATATCAGTCGTATACAAAGAATAGGACGATTTGGGGATGACAAGCCAAGACCCATTTTGGTTAAGTTCTGTGATGTGGCACTGCGAGATAGAATTTGGTATGCGAAAACTTCATTCAAGGGTAGCGGCATTACATTGTCAGAGTTCCTGACTTGTGAGCGACATGGATTGTTTCTCGAGGCACGAAAGCGATATGGTATCACTAGGTGTTGGACACGAGAAGGTAACATCTTTGTGTTGGGTTCCAATGATAAACGCCAGCTTGTGAATTGCTTAAGTGACTTGGATAAAGTATCAGCTTCTTTGCCCTCTACTACTGTAGCTCCAGTAACTACACTGCACGATAAGAACAAAAGACGCATTGCTGCCAGAAAATAGTAGGTATATAACTTAATCTCTTAACCCTTTACTGCATGATTCATTATAGCGTTGAAAAAAAAATATTTCAGTGTGGAAATAGCTTTATTTAATCATCAATAAGACATATTGAGAAAGAAATTTTGAAAAAGTTTTATATTTTGGATTTTTTTTTTACGGAACCATATATGGGCTCGTATGCATTGAGACAAAAACCATTACAGACACATATGGTATTGTATGCAGCAAAACAAAGAATTTATAGAATATTGAAAAAATAATAACAATATAATTATATTAATTATAAGTGAAATTGAAAGAAACAGTTTCTTTTTTCATTATAGCATAAAAAAACTTTACACTTGGAGCATTTAGTATAAGTTTTCATTGAGCATACTTGACAATGCTGACGATTCTTCTGCCATTCAGGCCAATGACCTATACTGTCCGTCCTTACAGAGTTTAGGGGAAGCTCTTGATGTTTTTCTGGGATTTTTCTCGTCTTTTTAGATGTAGGTGTTCCAAGATTTGATCTGAATGGGACAGGCATTGAGGGAACATCGCTTTCGGAATCTAAATCATCATCATCACTTAGCATGCCATCACCAGGAATGAAATTAGTATGAAGGTTTTTTCCGTAAAAACGCGCTGGGTCCATTCTGCCAAGCAAGAGAAAAGGCAAATTTTTGAAGCAAGCAAAGCATAATAAATAAATAAAATGTATAAAAATGTGTAATATGTATAAAATTTTAGCTGTTATAAATAAATAAAACTTTAAATGCTAATTTGCTTGAGCCCATGCGATTCCATATTTGTCCTAGCAAAAAAATGTCTTAGTGCATACGAGACCATATATGGAATCGAATAAAAACTAGTTGTAAAGTATAAAAAACAATTGAAAAGCGGAAAAATTATCATTCGTCGAGAAAGATGAATATATAGACTCCATGAAAATATTTTTTTTTATCAAAAAGTACTTACGTATTACTCTGTTATAGTTTTTTGAAAATGAACAACTCGCACTTCGATTCTGCTTTTTCGCCCACTTGCTTAAAAGTGAGGTTATTTCGAAATGTCATCAAACCATAGACAATATTTTTGCGTTTTATTATTGCTAAATATATATTTAATGAATTAAAATAGTTTGAATTGTTTTATAATACTTAGTTTGGAAATAAAAATTAATTAAAACTTCAATACCATATATGGGCCCATATGCGGTAAAGGGTTAACTTCTTGGTGGCACAATGTTATTATTTGCTAAATGTATTAAATTTCTTTTATTATAATATTGAATTTATTGTGTTAGTTTAATTAATATTTTATTATTGCATGGCAGATTTAAGCTAAAGGAAAAAAACATATGCAGATTTTGTATTGTTACATTTTTGCCTTACGCACTTATATTGTTAATTGGATTTTGTTTTGGTTACTGCTTCACAATTTTGCTTGGAGGGTAATGTAGTTGTTATTTCTTTTGTAACTTACTTTTGTGCCTTGGAAGTAGCTAATTTAATTTATTTCTAATATTAATTTATAAAACCAACTTATAAAGTATTAGTGACAACTGTCAACTTGACATGTCATTTTTGTTTTCTGTTTTGTCTATAGTTTGCTGCTTCGAGCTATAACCTTTGTGCCACCGCTCATATTGTGTTCCGTTTTACGTTTTTGTTATGCTGTTTCTGTTTTTTGTTTAATTGTGTAATTTTACTTAGTATTATAATGTGAAAGGTTTCTTTCTGCAATTTTATTGTTTTTTTTGTGCAATTGTTAAAATTTCGTATAGTAGTTTCTGTTAAGTTTTTATTGCTGGTAAGTTGTACTAATGCGCAAATTTTATTTATCGACTTTTATTTTATGTAATTTTGCTTAATATTTTGCTCTTTATATATATATTGTTTTTATATATATATAAGTTATAGTATCTAAGTATAGCATACATTATGCCTAATTCTGCTAATGAAGATAGTCAAGACTTTTTATCTCTTTGTTCCTCCTCTAATGGATTGAACAGTAATGATAGTTTTTGTA